TCCATTTGAAATGGATTCTAAATAAATTCTTGAAGGTTCTATGTAAAGGGATGTAAAGCGGAATGGTAATTCAAATTTTTCTAGTTTTATTTTAAGATTTAAGTTAATCACCTAACATTGCCTCCATTGATTCTAAAACAACATGAATTACATTTTCAAGTAACCCACACACACAACCTTTGTACAATATAATCACTAGCATGAATAAATTATCTGAGCACAATCATAATATACTTATTCATCCACTCATGTAACACTACAAATCGCAATGTGAATATTGGTTTCTCTTGCACTTAGCATAAACAGGTGTCATTCACTATCATATCTTATAAGGAGAAAATATACTATAATGATGAGTTGGTTCAATTTAGTCAATCATATCTATCATATTTTTGTTGTTCTGTCATCAGAACACATTAAATGAATAGTTTTTTAAGGTTTTGTTTTCTCTTTTTATATAGATAGATATTTTCCTAGAATGCATCTCTCAATTATCAAGTAATTAAAAATGAAATCACCATGTACCTGGAAATATATTCTTAACTGCACAATTCAGTTAGTATATAAATTTCCTTTCTAGCATCACAATAGAAACGCCAAAAGAAAGGAAGGAAAGGAAAGGGGAAACTAAACAAAACAAAAGCCATGTATCCACACACAACAACAACAACAATTTGTGAGAACCAGACTGACTTGGAAGGAGATAAGAGAGGGCATAGGGGTGGGCTTGGAGGAAGGAATGCAAAGGGGTCAATGATTTAATTATATTATAATGTAAAAAACTAAGACACAGAGAGATGTTTACAGACCAAAAAAAAAAAAAAAAACCTGATCAGAATCTTGTGTTATGTATAGTACCAAAATATTGGCCAGCTGCATTTTTTCTTTAGATGAAACCAGGAAACACATAATTGTACCTTAATCCTGAATGCCAATTCTTTCAGATACTGGAATTCCAGATATTGAGATAGAAAACAATGGGACTCCTCATGACAGTGCTGCCATGCAAGGTACAATAAACAGCATTCTCTTTCTAATAAGTTCATGATGTGTGCTCCATGGAGTCAGGGTTGGGAA